CCGTCTCCCTATCCACTTGCTGGTGTTGGCGTCGTGCCGGCATGATTGATGGCAATGAAACAAAGCAGGATCTTCGTCTCTGATACCAAACTGGTGTAGCTGCAGCGTTAACAAAACATCGAGTCGTTGATTCAAAAGAATGGCCGACACAAGATCCTTCTCTCTAATCAAAAGCTCAACAAAGCAATTGAATGAAAGGAATCAAAGGCTTAAAAGCTCTGAATATTATTCAACGTAATCTTCTCTTTACAAGCTACCTTCTATTTAAATACCAAATATTAGCAATCTACGATGTAACAACCAAATCTAAACGGAAATAAAGAGAAACAGAGATGTTAAGATCTTCCACAACATAAGGACAACAACTTTAACGGTTCCACCTAAAGATGTGCTGCATCAGCTTGATTTCTTGAGTTCAATTAAGCTCATCCCTAATGTTTTCTCCTATTTTTTTTTATGATTTTTAAAATCTCTGGCCATTGTTCTACTCTATTTGGAAGGCATATGTACGTAAAATGGATAGGAAAGTGATACAGGCTAGTTCACATGGTCTTCCTCTCGTGGGCTTTATTCTCCATTGGGTTCTCCCTTAAGACCATGTATGAAATATCAATATCTTGTCCCATTTTTCCGAAAATCCTAGTTTAGTATTAGGCACATATTTTCCGATCCTAAAAATCCTCTGATCCTAAGTTTCTATTGACATATTTTGAAGACATTTTGTTTTTTCAACTCTACACCATTTCTAACATTGAGCCAGGTCTGAATTCTGTTACTTTGGATTTGGTTCAATTATCTCATTTTCCACCCAAAAAAAACGAGTAAGAGAACTTTAGAGAAAAGTCAAACAAAAGTTTTACATTGGTAATGTACTCAAACGTAACCAAAAGAAACCATACAAAATACATTAATTAGAAAACAGAAACGCTCGAGCACCATTAATTAATGCAGGATTTTCTCGTAACAACTTTTACTATATAACCAAAACTTCACGTTTCTTCTCTTATCTTTTATGTTTTCGGCTTTATTTGTGTTGAATTCTTTTTCTTCTCTGGAAAATTGTGTTCTATTCTTTGCTCTTATTTATTGCATTTTTCTTTCACCATTTTTGTGCTCTGACCATTATAATTTTTGGAGTTACTATGAAAAGCAAAAATCAAAGCCGTTAGACTTATACGCGTATGCACAACAACTAATCAATCTAAGTTGAAAATTTGAATAAGCGTTTTTTTATCATATTACAAAAGAGTTATAAAAAAACACTAATGTTTATGTTAAAATATGCGAATGCACGTGGATTCTATGAAGAGAGCTCGAGTAAGTTCGATGTATGAAGGTAAAGAGAGATACAGATCAAGTGAAGGAGACAAAGCTCGAAGGGATCATTCAAAACATGCAAGGATGACTGCAAAAGCTCGAATGAACGTTCACAAAGAGAGCATGAAATCTCCGACGAAAGATAAGAAAGTGGTAATGACCATGAAGTCCATGAGAAAGAACGACAAGACGCATGACTATCAAAAAACTGTTATTATTAGGGCTGCTGAAAAGGTAAAGGAGGACAAGGATAATGGTGAGGTGGAGAATATGGAGGAAGAAACAGAATTGCCCTTGTCAAGGTGGGTCGAAGAGTGGCCGGAGATGTTAACTTATGAAGAGGAGTGGACATGGTTTGCGTTTATGTTCGGATGGGGATGTTGGTGGCGTTATGATAAAGTGATGAACGGTGAGAGTTGGTATGACTGAATTATTAATCATAGATAGATTATCTTGGGTTTTGTTACAATTTATTCTGGGTGTTTGTTGCTATATTATACATACATAATCGTCATAGAATTGACAAAAAAATTCATAAGAACAACAAAGATATTGAAATATGAGTTGATATCGACCGAGATCAAGTATCTCTCTCTACATTGTTTTCCTTGCCTTCCTTAAAACATATTTGAAATCATTGACTAGCTGTTGGTGCCACAACTCTCTAACATTAGCACTAATATCATATAAATTTCTCCAAATAAAAAAAACCAACCAATCATAACAACAATTGATTAAAATTTTGAGAATGAACTGAAATGTTACTTTTATGATAAAAAATGGAAATTTGCTTATCTTTGGTTCTTTGACGGTATGCTTTTCTTCACCTACATTGTCTAGTTCTTCTTCTGATCATTTTTTTTATCATCAATAGATCGTTAAACTAATTAATAAAATATTTATTTGTGATGGTGATACTCTTTGGTCTAGAAAGAACAAATGGTTGACATTGTGTCAAGATTTGATCGAGATTTGACTCTTGACAATTGGTGAAAAAACCCATGATCGTGAACAACGTCATCCTACGTGGTCTTCCCCTGAACATCATATTTTTTTTTGGAAAATATCCTCACGTACTTTAGAGATTAGGAAGTTATTTTTGTGTTCTCTGAAAGATTCAGTGCTTGAAAAATAATTGATATCCATGAGTGGATATTTTAAGGGTATATTGATTATGGGAGGTTCGTACGCTTGAAGTTTTTAGAAATATCTAGGTTCCAATGGAGAGAATTTTAATTTTTGTCTTGGTATGAAGAAATTAGATTTGGTGACAATGATGAGAAAAAATAGCGGAAATCAGTGAATGAAAATATCCATTGATAGAAGAATGTTGTATATATATTGTCATCAAACCTCAAGAAACTAGTCACGAAGACTAATTAAATAAGTCGGGCACAGACTCGCATAACAAAATCTCAAGAAAAACAAAGTACCGATTATCCGTAAACTTAGTCAACTTAAATCATTCGTCGAGCCGAACCCAGACCCAAGATAACAAACCTTATCATTGGAACGAGCCGAGTTTGATCCACACAATCAGAATATAAGGTGAG